ACCAGTCAAAACTTATTTTTTTTTTTTAAAACTAGTTACATCTGCAATGGAGGTATTTTTGATCGGGGAACAATAAGATGAATATTAAATATGAATTAAAAAAATGTAGAAACTGAAACAAGATAATAATGTAAAATTAAAATTAAAGTATATTAAAATAAAACAAAATATAGCAAAACAAAGAATTAAACAGAATAAAAAATTAAATTAAATTAAAAATATTAAAAAGGAAAAAAAAAAATAAAATAAAGAAAGCGAAACAAAATTAAAAAAGTAAATAAGATTAAAAAAAGTGAAATAAAATAAAATTTAAGCAAAGTAAATATAAAATATAATTATATATAATAAAAATATAGAATATACATAAAATAAAATATAACGAAAAAATTAGTTGAAGCTAAAATAAGAATAAATCTTAAAATAACAATCAAAAAAATAGAAAAAAAATTAAATTAATGAAAGTAAATACAATTAATGAAAATTAAATAAATCTAAATATAACAGAATATTGTAAAAATACCTGAAATTAAATAAAAAATAAATTAATTAAATAAAAATATATATATAAAATTTTAATTGAATTAATAAAAATAAAACAAAACGGGATGAACTAAGTAAAATTAAATAAAAAAGCTAATAAAATAAAATGTTGAAATATATGATATAACGTAAAAAAAAATTAAATGAAATAAATTATATTGGATGGGTGCATAAGACGTCTTCCACATTTTTAAATTTTTTTCCATTCAAATTGTTCTGCAGCGATCGAAACAAATGATAATCAGAAAGTGCAATGTCGGGTGAATATGGGGGATGCGGCATGATTTCCTAATTCATCTCCTTCAGTTTGGCCAGGGTCGGTTTTGCAACATGTGGCCTGGCGTTATCATGATGGTAAAGAACTCCTTTGCGATTGGCCAAAATCGGACGTTTTTCATCAATTGCTTTCTTCAATTCAACCAATTGCTGACAATATTTGTTGGCAGTGATCGTTTCTCCAGCTGGCAAGAGCTCAAAATAGATCACGCCTCGGATATCCCACCAAATGCACAGCAGTACCTTCATCGGATGCAATCCACCTTTCGACATCGGTTCCGCCACTTCGTGTGCCTGTTTCCATGTTCTTTTGCATTGAACATTGTTGTACAGGATCCATTTTTCATCACCAGTCACGAGCCGATCCAAAAAAGGTTCGTTTTTGATCCGTCGAAGCACAGAAATTGCTTTTGACATACGGTCCACTTTGTTTTTTTCACTCAAATGATGTGGCACCCATGCATCGAGCTTCAAAGTGTACCCAACCTTTTTTAAACGAAGAAACGCAGTAGATTTGTTGACGTTTAATTCACTGGCAACCTCTTCCGTCGAAATACGTGAGTTATTCGCAACTAAAGTCCTTAGAACATCGTCATCAAGCTCAGAAGGCCGTCCACTGCGAGGTTGATCTTCGAGGTTAAAATCTCCAGAACGAAATTTCGCGAACCATTTCTTTACTGTGCGGAGTGCTGGAGCACGGTCCAAATAAACTTCGCGAATATCTTTAGTTGCAGCGCCTATTGTTTTTCCTTTGCGGAATTCGTATAACATAATATGACGCATATGATCTTTTTTGTTGTCCATCTTCCATGCGTCTTTTCAATAAGCAACTCAAATCAAAATAAAGTTATTTTATGCTTGATTTACAGTTCGGACTTTCACCTTTCCAACGATAAATAATATGTATATATTTCTTTTACGAGCGCCACTCTCAAACGATTCGAACGGCATCCAGCGGAATCGGGCACGAACTTATGCACTCATCCAACATATAGCGCAAAATAACACAAAAAATATATATATGCACAGTTTTAATTTTATTAGCCGAATAATATTAAGTTTTTAATTTTATTATCAGAATGATACTATTTTTGATGCACATACATTTATATGTACATACATACATCTGTATGTATATTGCTATGCAATATTTTTAGTTGGTAATTTTAATTTTATTTCAATTCCAAGTAGATGCATCAGTAGGCCAATGAGTGACCATAGTAAAATTTTGTTTATTTCATTTTATTATAAACAAATTTTATGCAAAATTGCACATTAACTAAAATAATGTCTATTTCAAGTAAATATGACAAAAACCGAATAAAATTTGATAAATAAGCCTACATTCATATATATATATATAATGTATTTAAAAAAGTATTTATGCATATACGAATGAATGTTTTAAAATATGTACTTATGTATGTGTATATATACCTAAATAGTTTTTCCGCTTGTTTAAATTCAGAATGAAAATCTGTATATTATATGTACACACATAATATACTTGTATTTGTTTGAATGAATGAAATAAATTACAGATTTTCCTTAAATTTGGTATATTGCTTGGCATTTAAAGTAAAAAAAAAAATGATTTTTATATAGTTAAGTAACAGTAGACTAAAATTCTCTTATGTTATTTATTATTAATTTATATATATACAATATGTTTTTAAATTTTTATATTGTGTTTATATTAACATAGCTGAAGAATTCGTTAGCAAAACAAACGGTCATTCACACATGAATTCATATGGATGTATATACATACATACATACATATATATGTATATTTGTGCATACCATCACACTTTTACGATTGAAGGTGACTGATGCCTACATCTAGAATCATATATTAAATAATTTAAAGACAAGTCATTAATAACATTTAAGTATGAAAAGAAAAATTTGCAAAAAAAAACGATATAAATTAAATGTCTTAATACTGCATTGTATGTACATACATATGTATATATGATACATGTATCTACAACAGCAGTATATGCATATGAAGGTTTATATGTTGCAACGAAATTTATGAGCATGGGGAATGCCTTTTTGCTTTCATAAACATGTACATATGTATGTATGTACATATATTTGTATCTATTACTTTATAATCTTAAAATGTTGGCTTTAACCCTCATTGTTTATGTGAATTCCGAATTTATTATTCCAGAGACGAATTATTAATAAATAAAAAGATAATAAGGACAATATTGCACCTGTTAACAATAAATGTCATACAGAATGCATTGTATACTTACATATATACATACATATCTACATAAATATTTCAATGTCAACATTGCATGTAGAAAGTGCGATTATCAAGTTGTCTTACAAATTACTTACAGACCTTTTAGCGATATTGAAATATGCACAAATCAGAGTTTCAGTTGGAGTATTAGGAATCTTACGGTTCTCGTGTAGCAAATAATAGACAATTGCTATTCCCTTAACTAATGGACTATTTTTTGTGCACAATTTAAGCTCCAAAAAGTTTTACAACAAAAGCGTTCTTACATACATATGTCTTATAAATAGTTGCATACAAGTACACATACATCCATGAATATGTCCATACTCATACTACGACGATAAAGTTACTGTAAGATGCTGTCCGGAAATAAAGATGCGTGCAGTTTTATTTTATTTGTTTTTCTTTTTGCACAAAAAGAGAGCAACTGTATATATGTAAAGTGCCACGATAAAACAGCGAGATCGCTCCTCCAAACGTCATGCGTGTATAAAAATACACGCAGTGTGCTGCTGAAGGTTTTTGACCTGCTCGATGCTGCGCATACAAGCTGATGTAAATACATACCTAATTATGTACATATGAATACAAAAGTGCATTGGTTAGCGCCATGGCAATTTACAAGATTACCATGATAACAGTTAATTTAATTACAAATGGTTTCATATACCCTCTTTTTGACTAAATAAGGTTTTTTTTTTTGAAATCGAGAGAACAACCATTTCAAAAAAAATAATAATAAATATTAATAGTTAATCAACATCTTATGCGATTCTTCTACAATATATTTTTAATATATACCGATACTTATTATTATCGGTCGATTAATATTCCCAAAAAGCGACAAAACTTAGTTGAATAAAAAAAGGGATTTTATATTAAATTTTGTTAGTTAATAAGAAATGTGTATAGCAATGCACTTGAATTTTAGCTCCCAATGCAATGCAGTTAGATTCCATATTTTACAAATACGTACATACATAAATGTACATTCATATGAAATACATGGCATATTATTAACAGATTAATTACATAACCCATTTTGAAAATATTTGTTGAATCAAATAAGTAAAAATAAATAAAAAGAAAACTAAGAAAAAAGGGAAACTATTATTTTTAGACCAAATTATTTTCCATCGCACTACAGCTCGAGGTAAATGTTTTATAAAAGTAAATATTCCATAAAGCTTTGTTTTTTAATTCAATTGCTTATGCTTTATTTTATTTTTTTTAATATATACATGTATATACAATGTATGTGTGCGCAGCGGGTAGACCGGTAAAATAATGATATGATAATCAGCGGACATAAAGATTATTGCTCACTTAGGGCATAACGACTAACAGTTTTTATTTATAGAAAATTATTGCTATATATAGAGAATGAGAGTACAAAGCTTGATCCGCATTAATTGAGAGAAATAAAACAACAAAATAATAATGACACGACGTTTTCGCTTTTTGTCCAGTAACTTACCCATTTCGATCATTTCCAACTGTTGTGGTTACTTAAATTCCAAAGCAATCCCTCCTCCTACACTACCTAAACGCAAAATTTGTCGATATTTTTCTATTGCAGTTAGTTTTTTGCATGCATTGGTAATATATTTAGTATTTTGTTAATTTAAGCTCATTTCGCTCTGGTAAAAACTTTTATAATCATTGGGAAGTACCCAATCCTTGAATAGGTCAATAAATAAGTTTATAAATTTTCATTTACTAGTTGGTATATTTCACTTTGGTCACTTTTATCCGATTAGTTTTTATATTTTCTCTGAGTTATGGCTAAGTACGCATTAGTTTGGTTAAACAATTAAATGATTTTCTTATCTACATAACATTCACGTTTTCGCTATATGAATTATGAGGAAAATACCTTTACCGAATTATTTTCTCCATCAAACAAATTTTTCAACTTCTAATATTTTCTTATTTTCGACCGACTTTTTCTCATACTGTTCTTCATCCACACCAGGTGTTGTCTTGTGGAAATTATTCATTTATTTTATAAAGAGAAATAGATGGCGCTCTAACACTTACCCGTTTAACTTTAAGGCGAGTTCATACCAGAGAACGTAAGTCAACTAATAGGTTCATGGCGTGCCGTTTGTCACTTTGCTCCGCATTCCACTCTATACCACAATGTTAAAAGTGCATGTTCACCACAGATGTATAAAAGTCCTTCTCACCACAATTTAACAGAGAACTAACAGAATCGTGCTCAAAATAGTAGAATGAGTACAATAATGAAAATTTCCATGCAAAATAAATGCAAAATTGAATTGATTTCAATGGAGAGCATATATTGTGATTTAGTTTATTGAATGGCAAAGTCTTATCTTAATACAAATACTTTTATTCATAAAGATTTTCTTTGCTTCATTATCTAAGAAAAACCATAATCAAGGGAGATTTAAATTAAAAATTAAACCATGGTGAGAAAATTTAGTTACGTCTTCATAAACAAATATAATGAAAATTGGGTATTCTCAAATCACCAATAACCAAAAATTAGTTTAAGTTCTCTTGAAAAATATTAAAATTATTATAATCAGTACAAAAAAAATTCTAGCGGATTTAATGGGCTTGAGCTAATAAATATACATAAAATTGAGTGAATTTTCTAAGGTTTCAGTTAATGAAAAATTGAAAACCCCTACGGAATTTCTTAGCTTATTATTACCTAATAATATCATCCAAAAAGGCAGCGGAGTACTTTGAAGAAAGCAATCGATATTGATGAACAATTTTTGATAAAAAATAAAAGACTGCTTTCTTTTTGAATACCAATTTATGTACTTCCAATTTATGGTAAATTAGGAAAATTTAAAAATGAAACAATTTGTTTTTTAAAGCTTCTATTCAAAAAATTATGAAACATCGGCAAAAATTTAATTTTACAGAATAAGCATTAATTTTTGCACTAATATGTACATATAATATATAGATATGAAAGTGTAGAAAATTTCTTTTTAGGCTAAATGTCATAAAATACTTTCAAACAGTTAAATAAAATAAATACACACGATAAGATATAATTTATGGATTCTTACGTTTTATAATAATTTCAATTGTTAAAAGTTTTCCTAATCTTTACATATGTATGTATGCATGCTCCTATTAACTAATATAAATTATAATGAATTTCATATATATAATATTATTAGTTTATTAACTAAGCTTCAATACATTGTTTGTTATTATTTAATTTAATACATGATACGTGTACAACTTTGGTATTTGCACCAAATATATATCTTGGAATAGATAGATATGTTGCCTATTTTAATATTTCTGATATAAATCATAAAACTTTAACAATAGGAGTGAGCCGTATAATTTTACAAAAGTTTACATATATTCTTTATTTTTTAGCTTAGAAGACTTCAAAGTACTTATGCATGTACCATTGGTGAACTAAAACGCACAATATTTGTATGCTTTTGTTTTTGTATATTATAAAATGGCTCATAAAAATGCTTACGCCTTCTTTACATCAATACTCTTTACCTTCCGATATACTAGTATGTATTTGTATTCCTTGCGGCGATTCTCTACTTTATATTTAAACTGCAATATTTTAGTTACTTAGAATTAGTTTGTGTATATGTATGCTAATATGTAAAAAAAAAACGATTCCATGCATTTTCGCTAAATTTATATTAAGGTCATTCATTGGTTTGCTTTTTTTATTTGCTGGTGATCAATTTTTGCATGGTATTGGTAGTGACTTTGATTGAAAAGAGATAGCAGTGTTGATGGCAGTTTTCTCCTGTGCAGATACGAGCCACTGCTTTTACTATTATGCTGCCAATAAATTGCGTATGTTCTTCGGTGTATTATCCTCGTTCAGGTGCTTCGTCGTATAACGCAGTGCATTCAGCAAAGGTTCGGCTTTTATGGCGGGCTGAGCTAGTAGCAAGCGGACACATCCTTTGACGTCTACATGCGAGCCGCGTGCGAATGCTCCCACTGGATGTACGTGATCATACAAGATGACGAGACCAACCATAACGCGCAACACAAGTAGATGGGTCTCCTCTCGTTCGATTTGCTGCAGCAATTTACTAAAAGTTTCATATTAAATTAATATGTATATGTATGTATTTTTTTTATGTGTAAGTACAAATACTTACGGATTCTCGAGCATTCGTAGGCAAACTTTCGCCATTGTGCCAAGTGTCTCAGTGGTGTTTTCAACATCATCGGCGTTATCGTTAACAAATTTCGAAGTCGCCTCGCTAAGAACTTTGAGCATGGGCGTAGCGTGTGCGTAGAATAAGGACATGCGGTTCGCCAATTCTGTACTCACTAACATGTTATTAGTTTGATCGATGCGTTGTCGACTGACAATACGTCGATAGTAACTGAAATCGTTTTGTATTGCGGGTGTTTTCATCTGAAATTTTAATTAAGTATTTATTATAGTAATTGAATTTTAACTGTTATTATTATATTACTTTATACTCATCGAATTTCAGTACAAACTCCAAAATTTCGGCCAATTGTTTGACCAATGCTTGCTGTGTCTCCAGATGTTGTGTGGGATTGAGCTTCCCACCAACCAGTTGACCTAATAATTTCGGAACCATTTTTTCCAGCTCTAAGGAATGTTCATAACAGCGTCTTAATTTCTTCACCAGCGGCAAAACGGCATCCCATGCTTTCTCCTGACATTTTGGTGAAGGATCAGCAATAGCCTCTCGTATTTCTTTACCAGCACCCTTAAAATAATTAATAGAAAACAATAAATGTAAAGATTTAATATAAAATATTTACATAAATGCAAATGTTGTCGAACTCTTTTTAATTTTTTTTTCCATCGAGCTTATCTTTTATTATTACTTTAAAATAATATTTCTAATTAATTTTGAATCACACTTCGGACCCTCTAACTAGTAGATTCCACTGCTACCCATTCGCGGCTGCCATCGCCAGTGGAATGCATACATATATATGTACATACAAAAATATATATATGTATGTATATATTAAGTACATTTATACATGTAAATAATAACAAAAATTTAAAATGATTGGTGGAAATTGTACGATGACCGGATGTGTTGAAACATATTTGGAAAGGTAGTGAGTGTAGCAGACACCTAATTGTAAATTGCGAGAATCAGGTTCAGTAGAATGGCTTTCATTACAACAAAAACAGATTTGACTAGTTTATTTTCATCAAACATTGGTGTGTACTGGTATAGGCATTACTAAAGGTATTTGGTTTGTGATTTCGATTTTCGAGATAAACTTGCATAAATATGTATGCATATACATATATATTCGTTCCCAATAGCTGAGTGGGTAGCATTACATACCAACATTCGGAAGGAGTTTTGGGTTGACCAACATTAATATAATTATATTTTCTAATAACGGTCGTCCCCAACAGGTCCTCTATGTATATATATGGCATGAAAGGTCCTCGGAAAAACTGGCAACCGTACGCGCTGGACTTAGAATAAACTGAAGGTGTACCTATTTGTTGCAAAAATATTAAGAGGCGCACCACAAAATAGAGGAGCATCTCAGATAATTTTCTTAAGCAGATAATTTTTGCTTTCACTTCGCTTTACAAAAATATGGTCAGTTACTGGGCAAAAACTCTTTCCTGAAAAGAATTAATTTTTGGATTTTTAATTTGAGGTTAAATATCACCTCTTTTTTCTTTCTTTTTTTTTACCACCTTAATGTTCATAAATACAGAAGTAAATGGTTTGAACGCACTCTGACCAATCGACTGACACCATCACCGTCACTGACGTCATGTTTCGTTGAAACACTCTGTGTTGTTTAATTAAACATTACGCACATATTTACAGATAAATTACTCTCAGTTTTAGGAGAGAAATTATGACTCCGTTCTTGGTAATTTACATAAAATTGCCAAAAAAAAAAAAAAAATGCATATGCAAGTATACGTATATACATATGTAGATAGGTACCTAAAGTAAAAGCTCACTCACCTTATAGACTTGGATTTCCTCCAGTACAATTTCTGATTCTTTTAGTACGCGTTCCACTTCTTCAAAAACCTCACGCTCAGTATCTGTCGGCGCAGCATTTTCGAAGTCTAGGAAAACGTCGTAGGATTTTGCTGCGCAACAATTTGAATCATCTCGTGCCAATAAACTTAATAGTTTTCCCATTTTCTTCGGCTGATTAGTTGGCGCAGACGACTTTTTATATACAAACAGCGTTTACGTGTTTTTTGAATTTTTGTTTATTTCTTATATTGTTTGTCTCTCCTTATCACTGCAAAATAGCTTGAATTGTTTAATCTACAAAAGATTGAACACTTTGAGTTCTTTAATTATTCCGAACAGACATAATAATTTGAAACAAATCACATTCAGAGAGAAGCAAAGTTTCTAATTTGTTGAACGAAAGCTACATATCAAAATCCCAAATTTATGGAAAGGAACTAAAAGAATTAATGAAGGAGCTCTGCAGGATAATTCGAAATAATGACATATGCGCTTATTGCTTCTAAAAGTTTTTATGTAAATATCGTTTTCATGAAGATGTAAACCCTTTAAAGACACCCAGAAATAATATTGAACAATAAATTACCTATTAATTGAAAATGATTTGTTAATGCCTCAAAATAAATAATTGCATACCTGCTATCCTGGAGTTAACTGAGCAAGCACTCATGTACATACATATGTATATCATGTGAAAATAGGCAGAGTAAATCAGGAAAATGGAGAAAAGCGAAATGCAAAATAAAACACATGGGGTTAATTTTTCATGTTTGCATTCGCTTATTCTTAATAAATTTTAAAGTAGCATGTGTATATGTATGTATATGTATAAATCTTTTTTTTGGTTTTAGATAAATACAATATTGTATTTACAAATCCCTGTCATTCTGGAATACCTAATCGGCGTTTCTAAATAAAGTAATTATTGCAAATAGTATGGAAACTGATTAGCATGCAATAAATCCTTTCTTTCACAAATTTACACCATTCTTCTGTCGTTTTATTAAAACAAAAAAATTTATATTTTATATCGGTGTAATTATCATATTATCCATTTATCAAATTCACTTTTTGTCTTTGCCCGCTTATCACTTATTTCTCAAAATGATTCTTTCTTCAACAAATTTTTTTACTCGTTTCCGCGGCGAAAGGCGAATGCGCAACCAAACCAATATTAATTCTGATGATTAATTCTATGGCAATAAACTTCGTTTCTACCTTACTTTGACGCATTACTGGAATTTCGCATTTTCTCGGTCGTAAACAACTCCCTCCATATTCTTATCATTTCATGCACGCCAATACCCTTGCCAATTCACCAACACTTTTGTTATACATTGATAAAAACTCATTTTCGACAACAAATCTCCATACCTAAATCATAATATGTATGTATAAATCTGTAATAGCAATACTTTATTTTTTTATTTACTATATTCACATATGGTTCACTCGCTAGCACACGATTTTACTAATAGAAAAATAATCAACCAAATCGATTCGCTGTGAAATATTAACTAAATAAAATCAAGGCAAATTCGTAGACGTTCGATTTCGCTTTAAATAAAATCAACCGAATTCGAACATAGTGCTGCCAACTGCCTATCCAGTCGCTAGTTATGGAAAAACATTTTCTTCCACCATTAGATGAATTAACAAACTTCTATTTATATGAAATTAAAACTTTCTGTTTTCAATTAAATATTTGATGTGATAAAATTTATTCATGACATCAATGATAAAATTGAAATATCCAGCATCGTAAAAGCTTCGTCTGCCATCGGCTTTACAATTTAAAGCCATTTCCCATCGACTAGCGGAGTTTGTAAGGAGCCTTTTATGTCATGTTAGTTGGCGGCAGTTACTGCCAAAAAATGCATTTGATACTTTTTGATGTTTTTTATTTAAACTAGTTTTTGATTTTTCATAATTATCTGTGTGGGATTCTTCTTCAAATTTTGTTGGACTCTTGATTCCTTTTTCCAGTCCGAAGTTAAAAGCTCTGGCAGCTCTTCATAAACTTTTCGCCCGGGAACGGGCCTCTTGTTAATTCGCCTTTCTATCACTTATCGAGTAAAACTGGAATTTCCTATCGATTGGAGCCACCATTTGTCATGATCTAATTTAATGTAAATAAACACTGAATTAACAAAAGCGGATTTTACTGAATATTTTGGAGTCGGGTTTCTTGGTTAATTGGTGTTTATAACAGAAAAAGGAGTTATTGTAATATTCTAAAAATTTTTAGAATATATTACAAAAAACGATACTATAATTATCGATAAAAAAAATTGTCGATAGTAAATTGTTATTCCAGTATTATTTTTCACATTGTACATTTTGCTTGAGGTCTGTTGAGATCCTTCCAAAAAATAAGTGCGCACACATACATATGTTTATATCGTGCATTGAAAATATTGTATAGAGAATAACAAATTACATACCCTTTTATAGTTTGAACAATGGAGCAAACAAACAAAAGCCCTTTGGACGATATACAACGGCAGATATTCGACAGAATCGCCAAAAACGATGTAAATGGTTTCAAGCAACTGATAACCCAGTTGAAGGAGCGTGTTGATTTTGTAGATGATGATGGAATGACACCGTTGCAACATGCTTGTTGCAAAGGTAGCAAGGAAATTGTTCAAATTTTATTGGATATGGTAGGTTCATCAGTTAGAAGATTCAACACGTGCTAATTTTGTATAATTTTCATTCAGGGTGCCGACATACATTTTAACAAACATGGTGCTGATTACACACCGCTACATTTCGCTGCTCTGTCGGGTAACACAGAAGTTTGCCGTCTTATCCTGGATGCTGGTATAAATCCGAATAGTTTGAATAGCGTGTCACGAACAGCGTCACAGATGGCTGCGTTTGTTGGAAATCATTCCTGTGTGGAAACGATCAACAACTATGTTCCACGTAAAAGTCTAGAATATTACACACAACCACAGGGACAACAAAAAGAACCATTAATATCACCATCACAATTAGACGCATTTCATCAATTTGTTATAGAAATTAATTTGCACCCAGTGCGCATTGCACTGAACTTGCAACAACTTGGTCTGCTTAGAAACCTGCAAGGCTTGAAAAAGGCGCTAGAGTACATGTGTGAGAAAGAAATGAAGAAGACGACCGATGTGAATGAACTTATGGCATTTAAATTTCACTACCTTCGATGGATTGTGTCCGAATTAATGCGTTGTGAGGAGCAGTGTAAAGCTCAACGTAAGGAAAAACCATCCGAAGGAGATGCCGGTAAACATGATTTTGTGGAATTGTTCATTAAGCGTGTGTTAAAAGAAAATAAACTTGGACAACTGGATTATGTAGAGTTCATTCTACGAGAGTGCGTGCGCGAATTCCCTTTTAGAGAGTGCACAATTTTTCGACAAGTCGTTTCCCAACTGACAGCTAAAGATCCTCAACCGGCATTATTAGTATTCCGTAATGCTATAAATGGACACCGCGGTTTTGCGGTAATATTATTACACATCAAAAATTAATGATTCAATGATTATATAATTTTTGTTTTTCTTTTGTATCTAGGATGAGTCGACATACTGTAGCTCGTGTGGTAACGAAAAACCAGACAAAAAGTGTTCGAAGTGCAAACAAGTAAAGTATTGTGATCGTGAATGTCAGCGCCTGCATTGGTTCATGCACAAAAAGACATGCGCTCGTCCCACCTCAAATGTATCTGCATCGACTAGTGCATCAGCTACGAAAGAGCCAATAGATACAAGCGAACTACAGGAAGAACTATCAAAACTGGCAACTGCTTAAACAGCTTAATTAATGAATATATGTGACAACATTTTGGTACCTCTGCCCAAGTTTTTTTAAAAGAATCCAAACGATCATATAGTTGTGTAGATTTGACATAGTACATACCGAATTATCTATAAACGGATTGTGTGTGCAATTCACATTCAAATAAAAATGGAAACCTGAAACTACTACAGATTTTCCGATTTTCCGTTAAAAAAAATTACATAAGTAAATGACAAAAATTAAAGGGTAGTCCACTTTGAATTTTCGAATTGTATGATTTGCATGGATTTTGCTGAAATTATGAATTCTGCATAAGAATTTCAGAAATTAAAAATATGATGATTTCTTTGTGAGCATGATAACTGTCATAACAGTTAAAATTAGATTTCAGAAAACTAAGAGTTTCCGCAGCAGGAGTTGATCTTTGGAAATTCAGTAACTTTCGGCCGGGCCTTTTGAGACGCACGTCTTAATAGAAGGATATAGAGTTTTGAAATCGCATCCGACCGGCTGAAATTCTTCTATGAGGAGCTTTTTATTTCAGGGATTTACATTCAAAAATAAATTAGGACTTAAACATTCGTTCTAAATGGAGCAAATTTTCTTCCAAGTCAACACAGCTTGAGTGGTCAAACTTCGAGCTGTTACACCAATTTAATACTTAAATGCCCAAAAAGTATGCGCTTTTTAACTATAATTTCCCCTCGGTACCATATTCTCTGGAATTCTTTAATAGGTTTTTTGAAATAAACTTGCATCGGGTGCAAGGAACCTGTTTACTTGGCATAACAGACGCGATGGAAATTGCCTTGACATCAGTCCAATTAACGTACAAGTGACTTACGATGCTGCAATAACAGCTAGCTGCCCAAATATCCTAAGCTTAAGTGTGTGAGAACATGCGAAGAGGCGATTTATAGACTATCGCAGGTAGACATATTGAATTTCACTTGGATCTCAGGTCCCACGACGTTAACTCCCATTTCAACCAATCAACCAACTAACCATATTTAATTATAATTTTTCCGATATATTGATTATTCCTCTCTTAAAATTTACGCACACACGGTGTGGAACAAGGGCACTTGAAAAGTTACTAAAAACTTAAATAAACTACGAACTAGAAATATTTATAACCTACAAGTACGCATAATATAATACATATGTATGTAATTACTTAAAGTAAGGTTAAAAAGTATTGTGTGTTTACAACTTTTTACACTGAGTACTACAAGACTTTATTTAAAGCTCAGAGCTTTCACATTCAGAAAGCCAAAATGGCAGAAATACTAAAATTATTGCTCTTTGACTGCTTCGTTTTTGTTGCGTCGTCGTCTTTTGCGCTGACTTCTGCGGACAAAACGGCAGAACCAGCGCTACTTTGCGCCTCCTGCTCCTCCTGCAAGTGGGAAGCGGCAGGCGATGTTCTCATTAAATCAATTGGAGGCGAGAAGGAAGAGGACGCGTGCTGCAGATATTGCGACTGGGCAGATAACATATTGGTTTGTGCATGCATCTGATGCGGGAGTTGCATTATTAATGGCTGCATGCCATTCACTGGTGACATCACTGAATTCATATTTGATATGGCTGCAAAGTATGTAGCCGCGGCAATGTCTGTCGGTGAAAAGTTCAAATTCTGCTGCTGTTGCTGCTGCTGTAGTGGCTCTCGCTGATACATTGCCGGGTACATAACTTCATCATAATATGGCGAAAGACTGCCACAACTCTGGGAACCAATTGAGTTCACATAGCTATCATCATCACAAGATCCATTCGACCGACTCCGTTTGTTGGTGAGCGAGTTCATTTCCACATTTACCATACCATTGCGCTCGTCTTCGTAGGCTGTCAGCATACTCTTACCAACCGGGCCTGATGCGTTATCCCCTATGTCCTCTTCGTCAGCATTCAACGTACTTAACTTCCGTTTGCAACGGGATTGACCGGTCTCACGAAATCCTTTGGCAAATGGATTGTTATCGATTTTCAATTTTGTGATGCGATCATTCTGAAAATAAAGGAGAATATATGAAATGATATGTTAAAGCAACTTCAATAGGAGTGAGACCAGTTCAACACAGCCTAACTGCATGTCACGCCGAGATGTGTGAGTATGGAGAGCTTGAAAAGTTGGTGGAAAATTCTACAAAAAGAGGCGACGAGTTACAAAAGGTTTGAAGACCGGTGCAAACTCTTGTAGGACTCAAAGAAGTGGTCTAAGGTCTGTTGCCCAGAGTATGCTGAATTTGTTGAGGGAAGACTTCTCCAGCCTGTTGAATGGCAGTAAAAATGGTACACTCGATGATGTTGAATCGGTTTCACCAATCGGTGACGATGGAACAGATGTTTGATTGCCCGACTATGACCATAAATTGGTCCTTATCAGTGCGGCTTCAGACCTGGTAAATCCACCATTGACCAAATATTCACCATGTGACAAAATGAAATGAGACATATCTTGATATATACTCGTGAAAGAGGATCGACACAAACCACCTTTTGGTCGATTTTTAAGCAGCCATCGACAACACGCTATGTCGGAGTTTGGTATCCGCTCACAAACTATACGGCTGTGTGCACTCTTGCCGAAAGCGGCTACTTAGGACTGAGAAGGTAATTGGAAAGAGAAGTTCTCTTTCGACGAACCATAACCAAATTCTACAAGTTGCTCACCGGTGTTAGGAGTTTTCGACAGGATGAACAGCCGTTGGAAGGATAAGCTCTGGTATACGGCAACATTGACATTGTTCAAAGAATCAAAAGACAGCGACTACGCTGGCTAGATCATGTGATCCAAATGGATGAAAACACCCGAAATTTGAAAGTTTTCAATGCACTGCCCGCCGGTGAAAGAAAAGAAGGAAGGAAGACCTCCACTTCGTTGCAAAGACCAGGTGGAGAAGGACATGACGCCAAACAGCGAAGGGCAAGAATGAATGGCGGTACTATTGTAAAATTTAAGCAAATTAAGCTGAGAAGAATAGCTATGTCTTTGTTTAGAAATAACAGCAAAAAAAAAACACAAAGTTACCAACCTGATAAGCCGTCACCGCAACGAACTCTGTCTCCGGAAAGACGAACGCCTGCTGTGCCGCCCATGGTAGCTGTGTGAGATCCGATGTGCGGATGATGTGCAATCGAGGCTGATACTTATGCATGCTGGCGAGCACAATCTGTATTAATTGCAGAAAGAAAAGGAGTTAGAAAATACATACATACATAAATCAATATTTCAAAAGGTGGAGGAAGGTGCCAAAATACTTACGTGACCATTATTGTCGAGAGTATTATTCGTAAGTTTGACTTTATTAAAAATGATGGCTTGCGACTGCCAATGGGCGCCAGTAGCTGGACTATCGGGATGCAGAAACATGCGTTGTGGGCTTTGAGGCTCAGCACCGCCAGCAGGTATCCAATGTGAGCCGGAGAATTTGTAACGGCAATCGCCGATGGGAACCATTTCCAGTAAAACACAATAATTGGACTCGTCCTCCAGGCCGGAGACTGAAACGCGCATGGAGGGGAACATGCGCCTACAACAAAATGAAATAAAATATACAATTTATTAGGTAATTAAATGATTTCGTGATATTAGCGTTAAAATATAGAAATACCAATCAGAGACTTGTAAATGCATATGCATACATATATATGTACATACATATGTACCGAAGATGTTGATCTCAAGTGCGCATTAGCCCAGTGCCGCCTTATTATCAGGATGGACGAACTGTACAAATACTAATGTACATATGTATGTATGTATGTAAGTGTACATATTATGTCGTCATAAAAAAGCTGCCTAGTGAAAAGTGGCAAATCAATAAATCAAATAAAACTATTTACCACTCGGATAGGCCACAAAATGTAGGCGTTGCATGTGTGATTTGTGGTTTTATATCCACACGACGACCTCGACAATGTGCGTTAAATGCAGACGATTCGTAGACTCATATATGTATACGCATACATATATACACACACATGTATACGTACATATGTATGTATGCACAAAGGCGCAGGTTAACAAGTGTGTAATTATGACACGGCAGAAGGCAGGCCGCTCGACAACAAAAACAAGCCTTCCATGAAATGAAAGATCAAAATTAGAACCAACTCTCTGGCGAAGACTCGGTCAGCCCGTCATAAAGTAGAACAGCAGGGAGTACAACAAATTGGCGCCGTGAAAACTCATTTAAATTGTACAAGTAGCAGGCGACGCAGTCGAGGATAGAACAAGAAGTGGCAAAGTGTATATTTGTATGTGGATTTATACATATGTGGCATACAAATATTCAAACAACTCAAAGCATCAAGTAGATGCGTTTGCTTATATGTATGTATGTATGTATGTATGTATGTATGTATATATGTATGTATGTATGTATGTATGTATGTATGTATGTATATATGTATGTATGTATGTATGTATGTATGTATGTATGTATATATGTTCACATGCGTTTATACAGCGATTATTGAACACCAGCGTGGAGTGCCCAGTTTACTACCAAAACAAACTGAATTTGATTAATTGAAAATGACGTATTGCGTCGAAGGTTCCTTCGCTTGAATTAATGATGTACTAAAGAGGACCCATTGCAGGCTGAGGAACTGGTGGGCGCCAAATGTGCATCATGTGTTTGTTTACATTTGACATCCATACATACATACATGTGCACCACTGAGCTGGTGATCCAATTGACAATTTCACTGTCGACGTAACATAGATCTGTGCTTGTGCGCTTAAGTACATACAGACATACATACATACATAAGAATAAAGTGACAAAACTTTAAATTATCAACTAAATTGCCCGTAAGTGAAAAGAAAATCGTTTGCCTTAATATTTATTCATTTTGAGTTTTTGTAATATTTTTTGTTGTAATAAATTTATTCTCCTTAAGCCGATGTAGCACTCATGTGTCAAATTTCAGGTATAATTTTAGCTGCGTAGACAGGCATCCATCAAAATCTAAGTACATACATACATACATATATACATATATATGAACATACATACGTACGTAAATGACAGGAAATTCGGTAGAGATCAAGTGCAAGTAAACCGAAGAAAGGCTGCCCACAAAGAAACGGTCTGCTGTTGCTGGCGTTTTGTCGCCAGTTAATTTGCCTGTAAAGGCAGTTTTACGATCATCGTGGCGCCAACGTTGATCACACGGAAAGTATTGATCACATTCCGTGTGGCAGTAGGTAGTTCGTATTAATATTCAAAAAGAAGACCGAAATGCTTGCCTTCACACTCAGTTGACTTAAAAGCCTTTAGTTTGCTGGAAGCACCACCTCCCGCTATGATCTTAATGCCGCTTGATCAACTGAGTGGCAATGGATCGGCAAGTGAGCTGCTTAGCTACGAACCAAGTGAAATCGGAATGAATGGAGAATTTATGATGGGATTCTTTCCAAATGTTCCACCATTTGTTTTATGGGTTATGAGTTTGGATCCTGGCCAAATCAACATCCAAAGTTAAAGAATAAAATATTTCCTACTCCGGCTGTTCCTTGGCAGGGAATGCCAGATGTTGTATTATTATTAGTGTAGTTGTAGCTAGAAAAGAATAACCCAAAGTATTTTTGAGGAATGTTGTGTGAGAGTCAGCCTTTGATCCGATAAAAATCCTGATTGTTCCGGCATAAAGCCTCGACTGTTTAAGCGAGCAGCACACTATACCCAACATCCCTACTTATAGGCATAAGCTATTGTTTGTGCTGCTGTTTGATATACAAACCAAGTCCCTCGAGTTAAGCATCTATTGTATACTTTGAGTTTATTGCTTTACTGTCCACCTGAGAATTTCACTTATGCATATAAGTGCACGTGAGTATACATAAATACGTAGATGCTTAAGTTCAGGGGCTTGGTAGCTCGCTTGAAAGCTTGCACTAGTATCCGGAACGGCTGAAACACGCTAATGGCTAATTGGTGCAAGCTTGGCCTACAAAAGCACATGAACCACTCTCTCGCGTCACCATTTTTGAAGAGTTGCAGCGCTCATTCCGTTTCCGACACAACAACGGAATGATCATCTCGCACTATCCCCAACCCCCAGAAGAAAGGACATCCCGCACCACTTCAGATTTTCACCCGGAGCTCACTACCGAGCTCCAACCAATAAATTCCCAATGTAAAAGAAAGCAATGGTCATGCCGCACCATCTCCACATTTTTTTATGGAGATCACTCCGAATTCCTTTAAGAGCCAAAACATTCGATGAACACCAACTTTCCCTACACCTAATCTTCCTCCCTTTCCTACCCATCAAGCTGAGACACCGACTGTCCCGCGAGCAGTTAGACTTTAGTCGCCTCTTACGACAACCCTATTTTACCGCGGGTAAATTCTTGACACACAAAAAAAAAAACAATAAGACGCATGTCACAAATTGAAGGGAAGACGAGGCGGAAGAGGTTTCAACTGTTATAAAACTCCAATAATAGTATATATACATATATATGTTGTTTGTCCGATATATACATATATATCTATATAATTCTACACACTTCACTCACCTTCCACTCTTGGTTATGATCATCTCGGTGCCAATTTTATGAAACTGCCGCCAAAGTTCATTGTTCTCCAATTTCGCTTCTGCGCCAGGCAGCGGGGGACGTGGCGGCACAATTATGTGATGAGGCATATGGAATGGCAGCATGGGTGGAAAGGGATCTGTAAAAGTGTTAAAAAAAAACACCATCACAATAGGTAAGTACTGGCACGAGCATGAGACATTGCTCCGAAGAAATTCCGACGGCTTATTCTTTTATTATTCACTTACCCGGTATGCGCTGCATAATTTGCTGGCGATACATTTCATGTGCTATCTGTTGCTGCATTCTCAAATCGATTAGTTCACTCATGCTAAGCATTTTTTAATTTTATGTTTTTGTTGTAGTGTAAATTTATTTATTTGATAATTTTTTAATTAATACACTTTTTCACTCGGTCACTTGTCAAAAATTCAAAATTCATCCAAATGAATATTTTCAGTTCAAGCGTTTTGTTACTTTTCCAACCACGTTCACTTCGAAACTAACTCTGCTCACAAATTGTCTGCGCTCATCGACTTCGAATTCATGATCGGTTCTTGGAAGCAGCACAAAGCGCAACACACACGCACACGCAAGCTCACTGAAACCTGTTTTCGTAGACAGCACCGAGATTTGATCATTTTCCATGCTGCTCTACATCTTGCATCTTCCTTTGTTGTTATGAGCGTAAAGCGTTGTCTGATTGGTTGAGGGCAGTCGCCGGCATGCTGTTGAGTATGCATGCGTGGATGCATGTGTGTGTACAAACAACTACCAACGGGCGCAGCATGTTTGCTTCCCAGCTGCCCTCCATTTTGGAAAATTAACAGCACTAATTATTCCGTTGCTCTACAGCAACAACAAGCATGACTGAGAGTCAAACTGAAATCGCTCTTGAGCTTCTTAACTCCACCCATTTGAGAACGGTGCGTGGTATGCTTACATTTTCACATGAATATACATATGCATGTAGTTGTGGCTGCAATTGTTTGTGTTTGAATGGAGTTGCTGTTGTTGTTTTGAAGGCGTGCAATCAGATTTTCATAGCTGTTGTTTCCAACTGCTGTTTTTGGTATTAGACTAACTTACAAAATTATGAGTTTCCTTTGCAGGAATATAACTATCTACGTGTGTATGTATGTAGCAATATGTGTATGTTTGCAAGCATATCTGTAGTACCTACATATACATATACATACATTTGCAGTTACCTACAGATGTTGCAAGCATAATTTGTAATCGAACGTAAATAAACCGACTTCCTACGAATATTTTATCTAAGCACATACGGACGTGTATGTACGTAAGTCCACATTGTATGTACATACATATACATATGTATACAATGCGTCAACGTCTATAGTGTGTAATTATTTTTCACACATACGAGTTAGCAAGAATTGTTGCGCATTTTCAGTGCAGACACACAAATGCTTCAAGGTGTTCAGAATGGCGGCTTGATTGTCTCGCTTAGTTGTTGTTGTCTACATCGATCTTGCTATTTACGACGGCAGGTGAACATAAATACATGTATTTTCAGTAATTTACTTATGTATGCACATATCGGTTTTAAATGGTCTTTTCTACGACTTTTTGGATAACAAATTGCCAGGCCTACTAATCGGCGCTTCTTTTATTGATTTTTCAACCTTTGCGATATTAAGGTAGCCAGTCTCTTCTGGCTTGTATATTTTGGAATTAGTAGTGCCCTCCACATGTATTAGTATATGTATGTACTTATACTTGAGATGTACATATTGTACATAGCAAGTATAGTGGGGTAAGTCTGCCACCGAGTAGCAAGACAGTACTGGGGTTATTTTTCATAAAGACAAAAAAAAACTGTTGGCAACTTCGAGGAAGTCGATCCTACTCAATTAGCCTCCTTTGGATTAAGTTAGTTTAGGTTACGCTGGCCTGGTGGATGATCTTCACATAGACCCGTTGGTTCTTTGATTCTAAGCTCGCCCCCGCACTGTATTCATGTGTCACAGAGATGCCAGTAGGTTGTGGCCCTTCATTAGGCCAACCACTATACGTGTAAGTAAGAAATGAGTGATTTCTTTACTGTTATTGTGTTATTGCACATTACCTTGCTGGCTTAGCCTGTCGCAACCTCTGATCTGGCATCCGGCTCTTTCAGAACCTTCATTACATATCGTTTTTAGCTACTTTTGTTGTCCTACATTGGTAAGCTAGCACTGTTGGCACTCTCATCAGCTACTCGCATTCCGCTGCCCAAAATACCCTTGTGGCCTAAAACCCAGTATATCCGCAATACGATGCTAGATTAGTTCTCTATAAGTATGGTTTAAATTTTAACGTGGTTGCGATGACCGAGTGATTAGCATTGCGAACTGTCATTCGGAAAGCAAGGACTCGATCGTTTAACCAAAATCCAAAATTTGCTGAAAATTAGTTTAAATCGAAAATTGAGTTCATTTTTCTAATTGCGGTTCTTCCTCGGCAGGGAATGTCAATCCCGCCGAGTGCATTTCTGACATGAATTAAAAAACACCAGCAGACGTTCGGTGGCGGCTTGGTATAAACTGTGGATGCCAAGAAATTGGAGAAGGAGGCCAAAACCTGCTTCAGCGGTTACAAAGCGCCAATTATATACTACATACACATATATAGATATGTATGTATTCAAACACTGACCCGACAAAAATGTTATCTGTTGACCTAAACGGGGTTAGGTCGGTGAAAGGGTGACAGCCCTTAGCCGGCACACAGCATACCCAACGCATGCCCTGCATGTGGAGAGTCTCTGCACGACACTAACCACCTCTTCACATGCCCTCTCAAACCAACTCATCTAACCCTCCTCTCCCTTTGGTCCAACCCCGTCGAAACAGCTCGCTTCCTGAACGTCCGACTAGATAACCTCGGCGACTTAGACTGATCAAACCTGTGCCTAAGCAGGGTTAGCGAACCGCTACAACAACAACAACAACAACCCGACAAAAGTCCTGGGCCATCCCTTTTATTTTCTTCTTCTCGAATTTTACTGCGATCAAGATTATGTAGCCTAAGCAAACTCAACTATAAATACAAATTTTCCATATAGTTCGGTTACAGGTCCACTACCGGTTAAGAGAAGAATTTCAGGCAAATTGAATCATAAATAAGATTTTTGAGATTCTTTTCCTTCCTGTTAACCTCAACATAAATTTTAGTAAATCGAATCTTAAATACAAATTTTCGGATAAATTGATCCATGGCCCACTTACCACAATACAGTTACATTTTCTTACGGTAATACCTTCCCGCTTCCAACAAAAAGTACTCCATAAATAGGATTTTCTGAAATCTGAGCTCCACTTACCACTTCTATTTAATTTAATCGAATAGGTCTGCACCGGGGACCAGGTGAGCGGTGCAGACCAAATTTTAAGGAAGTCTTACTAAAATTACGAATTCTTCGAAAGGGTCTGAAATAATTAGTTGTATGCAAGAAAATTCCACGTAAAATTGAAAAAAAGTGAATTGTCCGGTTATTATCACATTTACGAGTATTTTATACGAAATATATCGAACCATATCGCGGTAGCCGAGTGGTTAGCATTGCGTACTGGCTTTCAGAAGGCTCGGGTGCAAGTCCCGGTGCCATGAACAGCCAAAAGGTATGGAAAATTATTTCATATATAAAAGCAAGTTAAATTTCCTAATTGCCGTGGTCCCTCGGCAGGAAATGTTCACCCCTCCAAATGTATTTCGCACAGGAAATAAATGCTTTGGTAAAAAAACCATCAGACGTTCGGATACAGCTTAGTATAAACTGTCTGTAGGCCCCTTCCATTGGTGGAAAAACATCAAGACACAAAACCACACATTGGAGGAGAAGCTCGGACGAAAAATCGCTTCAGCGGTTACAAAGCGCCAGTTATATATATCGAGCCATAGGGTGCAGCAGCGCAAATTGGAGGAGAAGCTCGTTCGTAAATCACTTCAGCGTGAAGTGCCAGGCTTATTACAATAGTTTCCAAATGGCCGACTGAAAGTTTATAACTCGCCAAAACGCTTCACATACCGCGCATACACGATATTTCCCAAGACAGTCATCAGTCAAGGACCTTAGCAGAAGCCCTTAAATTTTACGCCAGAAAGATCTCATTATCGTGCACCTCATATTATGTGCCTAGAGCTAACCAAACTAACTCGAAATTCATCTCAAGAGAAGACCTCAGGTGGTCAGAAGATGTTGTTGTTGTTGTATCGGTTAGCTTGGTGGTTCTCTTATATTTTTGGTGTGAGTCTTGAACTCTTTGCCCGTGAATGGGGGGAACTGCTGTTTTGAGGGACCGCAAGCGACCGCTGGATTTGTACGAGCAGATTTTTATTTTATGCAAGAAATACAATGAAGATTGTTGTCTGGTCCCCATTCATATCCGCCGACCTCCGGATAATAGCAAGCATTATTGGTACCCACTTGGATGGAGCGCCACCATGTACTTGTACATATGTATGCAAAACGTTACCTCATTTCATGCACTTGCACATACCACCTACCCACACACACACAGGCACAATCAAGTACATGCGCACGAACATGGCAAAAAACGGAAGCTGGTTAACAAATTACTTTGTATTAAACTAAAATTTATTTTTATCTTAAGGGAACACATGTCACAGCTACCGTGTAGTCCGCATCGTATATCGTATAGCAATAGCATCTTCGACGGCAACACATAGTGGCGCTGCCACATAAAAGAGAGATCCGAAATCAGAGATAAGGGACACGTTTGTGGATGCGACACTTGAGGAGCCTTTAAGTACTTTACGAGTCCTGTGCTGTGCGTTGCCTTGGTTGTGCAATTGCAGTACATTCAACGCTGGCGCCAGCGGTGTACAAAATATCGCTTGGACAGACGAGACGGTAAACAATAGCAGAAGCACCGGTTAGCTGCCAAACCAAGCCACTTGACAGTGTATGTACTCACTGAGCAAACGGAGCTGCGATGCTTGTGTACTTACATGCGTATGTACATATGTAGATGCACAAGTATGCAAGTGCAGCGGCGTCTATTTATGCCCAGCTTGATCTTATTCTCTTAATTTTATTGCCAGTGGCGACAAAAACTTGGTCACACATAAATTTATCCCACATACAACGGTTGTGTGTGAGTATGTATGTGTGCCAGCCGTAACAGGTAGAACAATGCCTGCTCTAAGTAGATACTAAAAGCCACCGCTTTCCCAAAATTCACACTTTATGACATTACCACAACCAATAGTACATGACACTTGTCTATCCACGGCGAACAATAAAAGTGCTCGTACTAAAGGGTCAAGAGATCACATAATGTACGTACAAGAGATTGTCGTGTGTTCTTTGTTCTTTAAGAGACCCAAAGAGCATCATCAAAGGTTAGTGAGGTCTCGATTGCTATTCATGACGCAATACATTTTTATGCACAGAATTTTGCTAATGTTCTCATGTGTAATAATGCCAGTCATTTGGTCAACGTTGTCCAGACGGCGACACGAATGTTATAAATATTTCTCCTTCGGTTTTCGTAAATTATGTCCACCCCCGTGTCGGTTACTTCGCTGGAGACTCCAGCAGAGCGCATTGCAATTCGAATTCTA